TACACATTGCACGTATAATAGTAAGTTACACCAGTACGTACAAAATACACATTGCACGTATAATAGTAAGTTACACCGGTACGTACAAAATACACATTGCACGTATAATAGTAAGTTACACCAGTACGTACAAAATACACATTGCACGTATAATAGTAAGTTACACCGGTACGTACAAAATACACATTGCACGTATAATAGTAAGTTACACCAGTACGTACAAAATACACATTGCACGTATAATAGTAAGTTACACCGGTACGTACAAAATACACATTGCACGTATAATAGTAAGTTACACCAGTACGTACAAAATACACATTGCACGTATAATAGTAAGTTACACCGGTACGTACAAAATACACATTGCACGTATAATAGTAAGTTACACCGGTACGTACAAAATACACATTGCACGTATAATAGTAAGTTACACCAGTACGTACAAAATACACATTGCACGTATAATAGTAAGTTACACCGGTACGTACAAAATACACATTGCACGTATAATAGTAAGTTACACCGGTACGTACAAAATACACATTGCACGTATAATAGTAAGTTACACCAGTACGTACAAAATACACATTGCACGTATAATAGTAAGTTACACCGGTACGTACAAAATACACATTGCACGTATAATAGTAAGTTACACCGGTACGTACAAAATACACATTGCACGTATAATAGTAAGTTACACCAGTACGTACAAAATACACATTGCACGTATAATAGTAAGTTACACCGGTACGTACAAAATACACATTGCACGTATAATAGTAAGTTACACCAGTACGTACAAAATACACATTGCACGTATAATAGTAAGTTACACCGGTACGTACAAAATACACATTGCACGTATAATAGTAAGTTACACCGGTACGTACGAAATACACATTGCACGTATAATAGTAAGTTACACCAGTACGTACAAAATACACATTGCACGTATAATAGTAAGTTACACCGGTACGTACAAAATACACATTGCACGTATAATAGTAAGTTACACCGGTACGTACAAAATACACATTGCACGTATAATAGTAAGTTACACCGGTACGTACGAAATACACATTGCACGTATAATAGTAAGTTACACCGGTACGTACAAAATACACATTGCACGTATAATAGTAAGTTACACCGGTACGTACAAAATACACATTGCACGTATAATAGTAAGTTACACCAGTACGTACAAAATACACATTGCACGTATAATAGTAAGTTACACCGGTACGTACAAAATACACATTGCACGTATAATAGTAAGTTACACCGGTACGTACAAAATACACATTGCACGTATAATAGTAAGTTACACCAGTACGTACAAAATACACATTGCACGTATAATAGTAAGTTACACCGGTACGTACAAAATACACATTGCACGTATAATAGTAAGTTACACCAGTACGTACAAAATACACATTGCACGTATAATAGTAAGTTACACCGGTACGTACAAAATACACATTGCACGTATAATAGTAAGTTACACCAGTACGTACAAAATACACATTGCACGTATAATAGTAAGTTACACCGGTACGTACAAAATACACATTGCACGTATAATAGTAAGTTACACCAGTACGTACAAAATACACATTGCACGTATAATAGTAAGTTACACCGGTACGTACAAAATACACATTGCACGTATAATAGTAAGTTACACCAGTACGTACAAAATACACATTGCACGTATAATAGTAAGTTACACCGGTACGTACAAAATACACATTGCACGTATAATAGTAAGTTACACCAGTACGTACAAAATACACATTGCACGTATAATAGTAAGTTACACCGGTACGTACAAAATACACATTGCACGTATAATAGTAAGTTACACCAGTACGTACAAAATACACATTGCACGTATAATAGTAAGTTACACCGGTACGTACAAAATACACATTGCACGTATAATAGTAAGTTACACCAGTACGTACAAAATACACATTGCACGTATAATAGTAAGTTACACCGGTACGTACAAAATACACATTGCACGTATAATAGTAAGTTACACCGGTACGTACGAAATACACATTACACGTATAATAGTAAGTTACACCGGTACGTACAAAATACACATTACACGTATAATAGTAAGTTACACCGGTACGTACAAAATACACATTGCACGTATAATAGTAAGTTACACCGGTACGTACAAAATACACATTGCACGTATAATAGTAAGTTACACCGGTACGTACAAAATACACATTGCACGTATAATAGTAAGTTACACCGGTACGTACAAAATACACATTGCACGTATAATAGTAAGTTACACCGGTACGTACAAAATACACATTGCACGTATAATAGTAAGTTACACCAGTACGTACAAAATACACATTGCACGTATAATAGTAAGTTACACCGGTACGTACAAAATACACATTGCACGTATAATAGTAAGTTACACCGGTACGTACGAAATACACATTGCACGTATAATAGTAAGTTACACCGGTACGTACAAAATACACATTACACGTATAATAGTAAGTTACACCGGTACGTACGAAATACACATTGCACGTATAATAGTAAGTTACACCGGTACGTACGAAATACACATTGCACGTATAATAGTAAGTTACACCGGTACGTACGAAATACACATTGCACGTATAATAGTAAGTTACACCAGTACGTACAAAATACACATTGCACGTATAATAGTAAGTTACACCGGTACGTACGAAATACACATTGCACGTATAATAGTAAGTTACACCGGTACGTACGAAATACACATTGCACGTATAATAGTAAGTTACACCGGTACGTACGAAATACACATTGCACGTATAATAGTAAGTTACACCGGTACGTACGAAATACACATTGCACGTATAATAGTAAGTTACACCGGTACGTACGAAATACACATTGCACGTATAATAGTAAGTTACACCGGTACGTACGAAATACACATTGCACGTATAATAGTAAGTTACACCGGTACGTACGAAATACACATTGCACGTATAATAGTAAGTTACACCGGTACGTACGAAATACACAGTGCACGTACATTTAAAATAGTAAGTTACACCGGTACGTACGAAATATACATTGCACGTATAATATTAGTTACACGGATTTTTGGCAAGGTATACGGGATGGTATGACCCGAAAGGGTTTCGTATTTCCTGAGGCCGATAGGCCGAAGGAAATACGAAATCCCGTAGGGTCATACCATCCCTTATACCCTGCCAAAAATCCGTGTAACGAATTTATTCCCTCTTTGAGTCTTTTATATTGGTTTTGTACGGTTCTCCGTCAACTTTTCAGTTGTCAAGATGAAAATGGCACAGTACCTCATTTAGTTTCGTTTTATCAAATTCCTCGAACTGTTCTTCCTGATTCTTTTCTTTCAAATACGTCCTCAGCATGTTTGCCACTCGTCTGTTCGACTTTTGTGTGTTTTGTGGCACATAGTTTGCCCTTTTGGCGAGTATTTCCTCATCAGTATGCGAAGCGAAACGTTTTGCCATTTTGTAAACAGCGCCGGAAGCAGACGACGAATGCGAGTTGTCTCCCGTTGCCCGGCCGCAAGATACAAAGACACGTGACCCTTGTAAAATCACGTGATTCCACCGTATTACTGCTGAGAATCACGTGACATGACCGTATATCCCCTGAGATTTTCGTATACCCTCTGAGATTGACAAATGCGGTTTTGGTACACTGTAGTTTGTAACCAATCAGATTCCTAGATTTTTCTCAAAGGGGAAATAATAGTAAGTTACACCGGTACGTACGAAGTATACGTTACAGAATACCTTACACGTGTACGTACCATATATACATGCACATTGTACAATTCGTCACACCCGAAACTAATTACACGTTACACCTCTACGGATTACTCTGCATATTGCATCGGTACTTAAGGATGATACGTTACACGTGTACGTAAGATTTATACGCCATAACTGTACAAATGAATTATACGTTACACTTGTACGTACGAATATAAGTTACACCCGTACATAGGAATTATACTTTACACCTGTAAGTACAAATTCTAATTAACACCTGTACGTACTCATTTTACTTAACACCTATACGTATACATTATACTTTACACTTGTACGTGCGAAGTATACGTTACATATGTCGCACACATAATACAGTATACACGTATCTGTATGTAAGAAATATCCCCTTTCTGTACGTACTAGTATGTTACACCTGTTCGTATACATTATAGATTTGAACGGTACTCTTTTGCGTACGTATTATGCGTTACAACTGTTGCACGAATTATGCATTATTTATGTACGCAAGAAAAATATTATCTATATGTACTTACAAATTATACGATCATGCGTAACACCTGTATCACGAATTTTACATTCTATCTACACTCAAGAAATATACTCTATCTGTGCGTACGAATTTTATGTTACATCTTTACGTACATAATATACATTTTATGCTACACCTGTAGGTTCGAAAACATGTTACACCTGAATATACGAATTATATGTACATTGTATATGTATGTAACGACGAGTTCACCCTGATTGTGTGTTTGATATATGATACCTGTATTTACATATTATTCTTGATATATGAATTACATGTTCATATCTTTTATAACATTTATTTGTAATTATTAACACAAAATACTTGTACAGTGTATTACATCTTTTAGGTAATATCTTCAGGTAAAATAAGCAATGTGGTACACAGAATATCTGTATGTACAGATGTACATATTATGGATGACACGTGTTGCATCAAACATGTATGATGTATATCATATAATATCATACAATGTACTGTACATTAAACCTGCATGTACGTACTAAACATGGTACAGGTATGTACAGTACAGATTATACATATATACATTATACCTATAGGACAAACGATCATGCGCTATACTTACATTGTGTAAGTATTATTTCACCCGTTTGATTATAATGGGTACCGATATTGATACTTACCGTTAGTTTCTGGTTATATACTGTTATATTTGTGCTGTAGTTCCAGCTGATGACTGAACTCTCATAGAAAATGTCCGTGGCATCCCGATTGTATTGATCGAGCCATGCACGTGCAGCCTCCTCGTCTGTAATTTTGTCACCAATATCACTTTGGTGTTTAGTGACGTTGCCACAAACAGTTGATATAAACCCTATCATAAGGAACATATACCTTAATACATCCATATTAAAATTTGGAATGTGACGTATAGACGAACACAGGTGAAAGAATGTATGTGAAGTCTATATCAAAATCACTTTTTCCGGGGAATAGCCTTCTTAACATCCATCCATTGATTATTCAATTATTCATAAGTAAAACATGTTCTCACACACTGGCAAAACGGTTAAGTTTTTCAGACCGTATTTCTTTTACCGTTTCCGTGAAATGTATTATGTTGAGCTCTGTCACTAGCGCCAGGTGGCCAATGTCAAAAAACGAAATTTCTCCGTTCGGGGTTTTACTAGTAAACCGTCATAGACATTCTATTATAATCCGGAAGACTGCTCCTGTGCGTTATTCACTCATTTCACCTGGTAAACCGAATCTAGCTTGTTCAATGATGATGTTACATCAATCCAATGACGATCGAACTATGTTTTTTTATGTTGTGGTCATGTGCGTGACATATTGTTCTAAAGAAATCTCTGGTACACAAAGTGATATAGAATCAAAGCAGCATTAATCCAACACCGAGAAGTTTCAATAATATTTTTTACGATTTCATTTTAAGCACTCACAGTAATCCAATTTTGATATCATTCTCGATGCTCCTTTTGTAACAGATGAATATTTCATTAGGAAAATGAATTCAGCATCCGTTCCGGATGTTGTGTACGTATTCACAGTGTATGCGGTCCAGAACAATTGCTTGTAATCATACTCGGTAGTGGTATGAATAAAAATACCGCGGTGAGAGCGGAGTCGGGTGTAGCTAGCAGCGAACATAGATATGAAGGAACGTTTCTCGTTCTGGCGTGTGTACCTACTCTTCCTTTACATTCCATTCATACATAAGCACGTTGTCCGTACGCCATCGAAATGAGTGAGTTTGTGAACTCGTATTGATCCCGTTCTAATATTGACAAAACACTTGAACTTAAAAACAGTTTGCCTGAATTTTGAATACATATCTCATTGTTAAGCCGAGTTCAAAGTTAGTTTTAATCGCGTAAATGCAGAGTAACAATTTATATAATCAAGGTGTCCCTACGCTGGGAGCTGTACGTAGTAAACCATTTTATATTAGTCTTGATATTGCTGGTGTCCAATAGATCAATCTTCATCAATACGTTGCATTGTCTGATAGTTCTGATTTCGATTAACTGATTGTCCGAAGGTTCAACGTGGTTCGGAGCTGCTTTCTCGAATGTAGCGGAACTGATCTTCATCGAGAGCAGAATTGTCTTTTGGTTATAATGTTAGATACGAGTTCGTCTGATCAAAAAATTGTTCTACAGTAATTCAAAGACCCGTCCTTCTATTTCAAGAACAAAATACCCTCATATTTCTCTTTATTTCCTTATCGTTTCGTAATACTTTAAGAAAATGGAAAAGATAATAACAAATTCAATTATTTTCTGAATTGTAAACAATGCTAAGATTTACAAGGGATTACTTTTATCTACAATGTATCATTTAAGCACTAGCCTGTTCTCAGCTATACGATTCATCGTAATCCAACCGGAAGTAAAGTAATCCTACCGGAAGTACCGTAATATTATAGGAAGCCACGATCAGATAGCTTGTTTACATATTTTTTAAGGTGCTGAGCCCAGTTCGCGCAACCTTTGACATTTTTTTTCCTTTCCTCTCTTTGGCACTCTTTTTTCCCCCGACAGGAACCGATCCAGGAATTGGATTTTAAAATAGGTGTAAGGATTTTGAAGATGCGGGGGGATTTTTTACTTGCCAAGGTCATTTGACAATTAAGAGGGGGAGGGGGATAGAGAGAGAGGAGGNATATCTGCGCCTGTATTATACTATTAGAACATTGTTATCAGTTCGTCCTTACTTTCCAGTACTTCTAACACAGATGTGTTTGTTCAACTGTTTTATTTCAAACATTGTTTACTCGATCGTTCACGGAGTAACTTGACAGAAATCACACCCACCCGCCCCCTTTCCCTCGGACATTCCGTTATCACCTACTAATTACATCGCAGCAGTGTATACAGACTGTCAACGTTAAAGGTCGAGGTTATAACCAGATCAAGAGCCAGGATGTCGTATTAGTGGAAGCGCAAAGTTAAACCTCACACTTCTCCTATATATCGAGACAATAGTACGAAAATAAAAACAGAACGTGTTCGTGAAAACCGATATTTTGAACATATTATGAGGATAGGGGGTGGGGGTGGAGGGTGNCATACCAGATGGGAATTCAGATTCAAGATCGCGCAATATTGTCATTTTCAAGTTAACTTTGTGTTTGTGTACTTCTTGTTAATCTTTTTACGGTATAATTGAAGTTTTAATAGAAACACATCCTCTTTCTCATTGCAAACTATTCTTTTACCGGGACCAGAGGTTTCATACTTACGTAAACAGCTGTAGCGTTATGTTATAGTCTACCAATAGAAATCTCAATCAGTCCCTTGGCTCAGGTTTGTTATCGCGTGAAACGCATACCCCTTATATATAAACCATGATTCGTTTGATGTACTTCAAAGTTCGCGGTGAAGTACGATCGCTGCACGAGTAACACTGATTAAACTGGACAAACGAAAGGGTCGAGGAGAAGCCAGCTCTTAGTGAACAGACATCGACGGCATATTCTGCGGTAAATAAAATCATGTTCCTCTAAAACAAATATCAAACCAGTGTCTGCAGATATTCACTGATTTCCAATATTGTATGTTTGATAATCACAAAAACATTTTTTTTCGATGTTTTATACTGCTTCTTTGAAGTTGAATATACATAACCCAAGCATGCACTTCCAATGATTAGTCAGTAGGCGCGTCAATTAAGTGGGTTAGTCCTTAGGTAGGGGGAGTGCGAGAGGTTATTCGACTCAGCTTTATGAGAAAAGACAGGAGCATCTTACATGGGTTATTAGTGAAGCTTTGAAGCTAATTGGAATTACCACACTGTAACCATTTTTCACATTGATGATACAACAATGATGGTTTTGCATAAAGAATTATTTTATCCGATGTTGGGTACCGAGACACAATATCCTTGCAGGGTTTTCATGGAGAAAAAGAACTTGTATAAACTAGGGATTGATTTGATGTCGAACTAATAGAAAGTACTGATCACTTTATGAACTCTGGGATATTTAATGTAATTACAAAAGTATGAGTCTAGAGTCTAGAGTTCGGATGGTCCCGGGTTCGGATCTCGCATTGGCCGTGCATTTTCCCGCTCCAATACAAAATTGGCGAGCTTGCCAACCCTTGTTTTAAGTACATTTACTTCGTGGATTCCTGGCAAATGGATACCCAAACATGATTTGTTTCTTTGAGGGTGAAGACTTAAAAGGAGGGAGGAATGTAGCAGAACTGGACTGGATCGATCTCCGGCGACCAGATAAAGCGTCCGTCAAGAGGTCGGAGAGTCCCTGGTTCGAATCCCGGTCTGTCCGTGCATTTTCCCGCTCCTATAACAAATATACTGTATGTCTACAACAAATCGTAGCTTGGCACTTATGTAACTTGCGTCAACACAAATTCTGCATCGAAATAGTTTATATAGATGCCAACTAATACCAAACAAAGTGCCGTCATTATTCGGCATCCCTTGCTTCAAAGGTACATTCCAAACAAAACAAAAACAAGAGCAAGATAAAGGGAAACCAGGGTTTGGTTTGGGTTGTTTGTGTTGTACGTCTTATTAACAGCTATCGTCATTTAAGGACGTGCCAGGTTTTGGTGGTGGTGGAAAGTCTGAGTTACCGGAGAAAAGCCACTGACCTACGTACGCGTGGACTTAGGGGCGAACCCGCGGACCAAGCCTAAACCACTTGGCCACCGCGGCCTCTAACCATGATGGAACCAGGAAACCAGGGTCACTTAGCGTCAGTTATCGCAGTTCCGTCATTCTTTGGCATCCAGTTCCATTAATAGTGGGCGCTGATAACAGTTTGGTCAATTCTGTGCGCTTATATTCAATTTGCTGCTTCGATAAATCACCTTTGCAACGAAGAATATGCTGTATAAATCCAAGTTTTTACATGTACCATACCAATACAGAATTTTAAAGTTATGGCAAAAAAAGCTGTTTGACCTATCAAAAGAATCCGTGTAACACGCACACGAAACCAGTCTTCAAGTTGAGAGCATATGTTAAATATCCTTCACCATAAGTTTCCCATCGTCAACAATATTGTATCAGGATGTCATGATCAATCTGAAAGCATCCGATAAATACCCAAAGATAACGTACCACCCAAATGTGTACCGAATATAACTACCACTCAATATGCAACCGTACTTCAATACTAGTCGCTGTAATTGACAAAGATTGTGACCTGATACTTTTTAATTAGACGTAATCTCTAGCTAACGAGGTTTCAATCTCAAAGCATATCATGTAGTATTCAAATATCATATCTGAGGACATGAAACATTGAGAATACCCTTTTCAATCTTTTCACCTACGTTAAAATTAGCAAAGAAAAGTAGACTCTATACTTTTGAGTGGTTTGTTTTGATTCGAGATATATTTTCGATCTTTTTTTTTTTCAAATCAGCAAGATAAAACTGGCATTTCTGATTTTTCGTAGGTAACAAAACTTTTTACCTTTCCGTAAATAACACACTCACGATGTGATACGTGTCAAAGATATCAAATAAAAAGGAACTGGATTTTATTTTCTTGTGTGCTGGAAAGACTTCGCTAGTTTTACATAATGTCACGCATGCGCGGACACGTACACTATAATGGCGATACCATGCTAAAGCAGGCAGACGCAATCGGCTAGAAAAGGAAAAAAATACTGGAAGCCGATCAACAGCGTTACCAATGAAATGCGCTTAGAGAGAAAACAATGTTTGCGCTGTGAAGGGTAGTACGTTTATTGCGTAAAAATTGCCTCTGACCCAGCCCAGTCGAAGACGAGGTCGCCATTCGTTGGTTTCTGCTCTCGTGACTTCCCGTGAATTCGTGTATGCATAATAATGATGTGAGCAGCTTCTGATGAGATACGTAGCTGTTGGGAGAAGGCTTCGTACGCTTATACTTGACAAAATTCATTGATATTTTAAATCTTTTCAAACTAATATACTTATAATATTTACGGAATTTCGTTTAGGGGATAACCTTACTGTATTTTGAAATTCGCGACAATATATTGTGGTTTACCAATCAAATGTCGTATCAAATGTCATGTTATATTTGAAAAGAATGAGAATTTAGTTTTAACCACAATTTTCCCGAAAGATTGGGCGCAGTAATTTTAAACAAACGGTTTTACCAAGTGGCGGAACAGCTATTTTTGCTGTAAAAGTGGATGTTTTCTTTACATACTATTTCCATCAGGTGGCGAACGGCCCTCGGAAAATATTCGGGATTTGCCGACAGAGTTTGAATCTAAGTCGAAGTCACATGACTGGCCCCCGATTTCTCTAATATTATAGTATGACGGAAAGACTCGAAGAATTTCCGATTGGAAAGCAATGGTTCGTGATGTTGTTATATCAGAGCAACATCTTTAGCTGACAGGTTTATCAAATGGCTCTTCAAGTTATTTCAAGTTTATTGACTTTAATATTATAATAGTATACAGTGTATTTCCCTCATAGACATGTAACAAACTG